TGGTTGAGATTTAAATGCAGTCAGAAATATCCTTATAACAGAAAGGCAGAGGAAAATTGGACATACACAGAAGAGGAGAAGGCAATGTGACCATAAGCCAAGACGAATGGATTTTCCCCTAGAGCCTCTGAGGGAGCAGAGCCTTGATTTCAGCCCAGTGATACTGATTTCAGACTTTTAGCCTCCAGAACCGTGAGAGAATAAATTTCTGTTGTTTTAAACCACTAAATTTGTGGTAATTTGTTATAGCAGCAATAGGAAACGAATACAGATTCTTTTTGTTCATTAAAAATACCTCTCTCAAAACATAGTACTATGTGTTGAATTTGAAATGCAGCAGCTAGATCTCTAATATGCAGGACTGGTCATGTAGATTTGGATAATCACTTTGGGAAAATATGTGACATTCACTTTACTTACTATAGCCAAACATGTACACACATGTAATCTGTATAATTTGCATGAAAGCAAGTAAAGAAGGGTTCATTCCCCTGTTCCCCCAGAAGTGAACTTGTTTGGTAGTGTTTCCACCTTACTTTGTCAATTTGAAAACATGTTTTTAGATAATGTGATAAATACTTTTATTTAAAACTCATTTTGAACATGCTGTTTTTGAGAAAATTTAAAAAGTGGGAAATCATGTTTTTACCTGAAAAGTATGGAGTGTAAAGAGGATGTCTGCATTTGAAAGCAAGCTTGGAGAGCAGTAATAAGGACCTATGCTATGATGCCTGGCTCCTAAAACCCCCTCATCCCTTAGTAAAGGTTTTTCCATTATCGCCTGCCCAGTCATCCCGTCTCTGAACATATTAAGTACCAAACTAATCTCTCTCTGTCTCTCATGGAGAATCACATATTCTGCAGCTACTGAGATGCTAACTGTGAAGCAGTTTTAATGTTCTTTTCAGGCCAGAAAAAGAAAATCTTGTTAGTTGCATTCACTGATATACTTGTGATTCAAAGGCGGCTGTGACTCAAAGGCAGTGAGAGGCTGATCATTTCCCATAAAGTAGCATGTCCCTAATGCCATTTCTCCTCCTTCTTATTTTACTTCCTCAACTTATTGAATAAAAATAAATGTGAATGTAACACTAAAATAAATAAATACTTTGCTCACTTCAGTACATGGGAGCTGTTGCCAGCCATCTCATAAAAGCTGTCAGTGTTTTTAAAAATGCAATAAAAGGAAAGTGCTGTTTTCAATAGGACCTTTTTTGTACATTTTTTTTAACTTCTCAATATATATTGTATTCGATTTTCATGACCCTTTACCCATTCCTCTTCCCCCCTCCCTCTCTCCCCTTCCCCCCCACATCATATCTGTTCACTTGTCTTAAAAAGTTCAAGGAATTGTTGTGATTGTTGTGTCTTCAGGTGTAACACAGGACTCATAACTAGAGAGACGAGCCTCATTAGGAATCAGAAGCAGAACAGCAATACCTGGCCTGTATTAGTCCATTTGTCTTGGTTATAACAAAATGGAATTGGGTAATTTGTACGAAAACAAAATTTGTTGCTTACAGTTTCTGAGGCTGGAGAGTCCAAAGTCCAGGGAACACATCTGATGAAAGTCTTGGTAGTGACAGTACTGCAGGTGTCTCACAAGGCAGAAAATGGTGACACAGAAAGAGACTAACCTCTCCTGTGCTCTTCTTTTAATGCCCTCAGAACCACCAACTTTATAAATCCACTCACTAAGCATGATCCTACAATCTAATCACCTCTTCAAGGCCCCAACTTTCAATTACCATAATAGCATTTCCAACCCTTAACAGTAACAGTGGGAATTAAGCTTCTAATATATGGAATTTGGGAGACACAATTCAATCAATCCACAGCATAGCCAAATAATTCACTGTTTTAAATTATTTTTAAAGGGATATCCAGCAAAGTATTAACTCAGTGGATTTTCTTTAGCCTGCACATTCAAAAGAAAGATTTGGGCCTTGTTGAGCTTCTGGGAGGTAACCTCCAATCCCTTCGAACATCCTGCCTGAGAAGAGTGTCTATATTTACATGGGGGCCTTGGGCCATGGCAGATAGTCTATATTAACAGTGTGGTTTAAGGTGGGGGACTTGAGCCATGTGGTATCAGCTTGACCTCTGGACGGGCTGGAGACTAAGGTCAGCCACATGGGTCATCCATGACTATGTGATCAACTGCCAATTAAAACTTTGGACACCAGGCTTGGTTGAGCCTCCCTGGTTGGCAACACTCCATGAGTGTTGTCATGCATCATTGATGAGAGAATGAAGCATTACTCCACTAGAAGAGGACAACTGGAAATTGCTCCTGGTGTCTCCTGACCCCTGCCCTATGCTCCTTTTCCATTGTTGATTTTGATCTGTATCTTTTCATTGCAACAGAAGTAACTGTTAGTCTAACAGGTTTGCCAAGTTCTATGAGTCCTTCTAGCAAATCATTGACCCTGAGTATGGTCTTGAAGATTCCTGAATGCAGGAAGACTCAAAATTGTTGTCAGCACAGCTCTTCCAGCTGACAGCAGAGCCAGTCCAAGCCCAGAGCCAGATCACCTGGTTCCAGGCTTGGTTCTGACACCATCTAGTCACCCAGCCTCCTTGGATGTTAATTTCTTCTTGTGTACTATGAAAGGGGTGGACTGAAAGACCTCAGAAGTCCCTTCCAGCTTTAAAGTATAGATGCTCCTCAACTTACGATGGGGTACAGGGTTGCATCCCAATAAACCTATCATAATTCGAGATTATTGTAAGCCAAAAAGTCACTTAATACACCTAACCTACCAAACACCATAGCTTAGCCTAGCCTACCTTAAACACGATCAGAACACTTACATTAGCCTACAGTTGGGTAAAATCATCCAACACAAAACCTATTTTATAATAAAGCATTGGGCCGAGCCCATGGTGCACTCGGGAGAGCGCGGCGCTGGGAGCACAGCAGCGCTCCCACCGCAGGTTCGGATCCTATATAGGGATGGCCAGTGCGCTCACAGCGCTCACTGGCTGAGCGTGGTGCAGCCGATCTCAAAAAGGACAAATAATAATAATAATAATAATAATAATAATAATAATAATAATAATAATAATAATAATAATAATAATAATAATAATAATAATAATAATAATAATAATAATAATAATAATAATAATAATAATAATAATAATAATAATAATAATAATAATAATAATAATAATAATAATAATAATAATAATAATAATAATAATAATAATAATAATAATAATAATAATAATAATAATAATAATAATAATAATAATAATAATAATAATAATAATAATAATAATAATAATAATAATAATAATAATAATAATAATAATAATAATAATAATAATAATAATAATAATAATAATAATAATAATAATAATAATAATAATAATAATAATAATAATAATAATAATAATAATAATAATAAAGCACTGAATATCTCATGTGATTTATCAAATAGTGTACTGAAAGTGAAAATCAGAATGGTTGTATGGTACTTGAAGTACCGTTTCTACCAAATATGTATCGCCTTTGCACCATCATAAAGTAAAAAATTCCCAAGTTGGACGATCTTGAGTCAGGGACTGTCTGTACTAGGAATATGCCAAAATGAATATGTGTTGTGACTCAATGTCATCCAGACACTTCCCAGACTTGGTGGTTTGCTGCATGACTGTTGACAGTAGAATTCAGCCCACCGAAGATAAAATGGTTCTAGTCCTCTGATTAGCTCAGGGGCACAATGGGTAGGAGCATCTGTTGCCTTTGCTTTTTTACAGGCTTGCTCAGGGGCCTTTTATGAACCTTTGATCTGCTATTGCGGTACCAAAGTTTCTACTTTGAGGAAAGATCATAGTACAGCAGCTTCTGCCTGAAGCCAGGAAAAGCTAGGAGGATATAAAATTTGAAAAAACAATCTTCATCAATATGCCAGATTTTTGACTTAATAGCACCTGAATTATGCATTGTGCACACAGATCTATAACCAAAAATGCTCCAGGCTCTTCCCTCACTTCTGGAAAGAGAATTTCCTCAGGTAAATGTGCTTTGTGATGGAAACCATTACCTGTAGGTTTTTATTTCCACTATCCCAGCCCTTTATTACTAGAGTCTGAGTTTGGATCTTCCAAAAAACAGAAAATATTTAGTTCTATTTTAAAGTCTTCTCCCTTTGAAGTGTGTTTTTCTGAAGACATCAGAGCCAGAAAAATACAGAGGGGTCTGACCAGGAAATGGTGAGATCAGAAGCAATTATGAGAGCTGGAATTCACTCATTAACTCTGTCTAAGCAAATCATCCACCCTCTTCGGTTTGCTTTCTTGTGGATTATTTGTACAGAAGATAGTAATGCCTGTTTTGCATTATTCTTGAAAGGCATGCAAAACAGGCAAACAATAAGAACTTCAGTGTTGCATGTGTATTTGGCCATATGGTTAAATGATCTGTGGTTTTCTTTTTCTCATTCTTTTTATAGGATAACAGTTTCAGCCATGTGCTTTATGGATTTCAGCAAGTTTCCTCTTGACACTCAAAGTTGTTCTCTTGAACTGGAAAGCTGTAAGTCTTACTTGCCAATGGAGTGAGTACACATCATCCGAACACATCATCACATACTGCATATAAATAAGCATGCTCTTAACAAGCATTTTTAAATCTTGATATGTCCATCCAAAGTAGTTGTTGGGTTTTTTTGATATTTTTGCTTTTTGGTTTTTTGGGTTTTTTTACTAAGGATGATGGTAGTTTGTCTCTGAAATAAGAAGATTCAGAAGAAAAAGTGCTTTAATAATTACATATTCTTCAGTTTCCACAATGGCTATAAAGGAACAGTTCCCTAAAAAGGTGCATTCTTTCTAATGTTATTATGTAGACTGACACAGACTTTTCACACTTGGAAAGTTCTGGAATTCGTGTTCCTGAATGAGTCACAATCCTCCTTTAAGTATACTTGGATTTCCCAGAAAAACCCAGCTCTAGATACAGACCCCCTAATCAAAGCCCTGTCAAAGTCTCCCTGTCAATCACTTTGACCCATCTGCTATTTTTGATATGACAGCTTAAAAGGTGACTGCAATTTTCCATAATGAGTCTAAAATGCTGGGAATCTCAATGGATGTCTACTGCACAGATGCTCCTCCCCAAATCCATTAGAAACTTTCTATACCACTATTTGATTTCAGCAGAAAATTCTGAAGTTGGGCGCATTTTGAAATTCTGTCCAAGAGAACTACAGAACTAAGGAGAGCTAACGGTGGCATCAGGCCTGTGACTGCGGAGCAGTATTATGGCATCACTCTGAGGCCTGGCTTCATATTTCAAGAGAATGCACTCAGATATGGGAACAGTTCTTTGGAAAGTTCTGATTCATCATGTGAGCACAAGAAAAGACTCCACACTATATCAGTCATCGGGATCTAATTTGGGGGGATTTTTTTTCTTTTCTTTTTGAAGTCGTGGGTGTGATCAGTCTATCGGCAAACATTTTTCAGCACCGAATATGGCCATGTCCTTGGACTCAGCACTGGGACACAGAGCTCTACAAAAAATGATTATAGACCTCATGCAGCTTATGAAAACTAATTCCAATTACAAGAATATTATTTTCTTGTTTTAGATGCCTACAATGAGGAGGATCTAATTCTATATTGGAAACACGGAAACAAGTCCTTAAATACTGAAGAACATATTTCCCTCTCTCAGTTCTTTGTTGAGGACTTCAGTGCATCCAGTGGATTAGCTTTCTATAGCAGCACAGGTACAGCATTTTATTTACATGGCTCATTCATCAGCATTTATTAAACATCTACTGTTTGCAAAGCACCACAACATGTGAAGAGACCTGAATCCAAACAAGTGTCCCATTTGTCCAATAACATCATCCCTCTCCTACAGGAAGCCACCTCCACCATTCTAATATATCATTTCTCTCCTTGATGTCTGGCTTTCCCTCTTGGCCCCTCCAGTCTGCTGTTAATACAGCAGACAGAGTGATCTTTTGAAACATAAAAATCAAACTCTTCCCTGCTCAAAACCCTCTAGTGTTTTTCCATTACACTTATAACAAAATTCATGCTTCTCAATGTGATCTGTCTCCTGCCTAATGCTCTGACCTCACCCACTACCACCACATACTACTCTCTCCCTACTGGCCTTCTCGCTGCTCAAAACCCTCTAGTGTTTTTCCATTACACTTATAACAAAATTCATGCTTCTCAATGTAATCTGTCTCCTGCCTAATGCTCTGACCTCACCCACTACCACCACACACTACTCTCTCCCTACTGGCCTTCTCGCTTGAACATCTCATTTCAGCTGTGGTCCTCTGCTTTGGCCTTCTCCTCCCTGTGCCTGGAATGCTTTTCCTTCATCTTCTCATGGCCAGCTCCCTCGGTTCATTCAGAGCTTTGATCAAAAAAGGGCTTTCCTAACCATGCTGTCTAAAATAGGCCTTCGCCCTCAGCATTCCTTATCCTATTTGTCTATATAGCACTTACTGTTGCTTTGTGTTGCTTCGCCCCCCACGGATTTGTCACCCCACTTCCCCTGGGTGACGGAGATGCAAAGGGTTACTCAAAGCCCATCTCTTCTGAGCAGTGAGAGGCCCCAAAGTGGTGAACTTCCCTGGGAACGCTCCCTCCAGCGAGAGGCAACCCTTCCTTGGGAAATTAACCCTGAACTCGGGTTCTCTTCCTGCATTTATTTTCCAGACCAGGAAGTTACAGGAAGAAAACATAGGTGGGGTTATAGTTTAACCATATAGGCTGGTAACTTTCAGTGAAACAAGCCAGATGACATTCCAGTAAGGTAATTAAGTGGTCTTATCAACACAAGCTTGATCTTAGCAAACATTCCTTCTTATAGCAATTTCTCAGTATCTCTACATAACAATCAGTAACTAGTCTGTCCTTGAGCCAGCAGCCTTGCTGTGCCACAAATTTTTCTCTTACACCAGAGACTTATAGCCTGAGAAAAATTTCCAGTCCTCCACAAGGTCAATATTTGAAACTGCAAGACTCTGGAAACCAGGCCCTTTGAAGTACATATGCTTTTTAGTATATTCCACAACTTACCCATTACATGAAACATGTATTTATTTGACCGCTTTATTACCTCCCTAGAAAGAAGACAGAGAATCTGTCTGCCTTGCTCACAATTTCTTTCCTGGCTCCTGGAATATGCCTGGTATGAGAGGTGCTCAGTAAAAATCAGCTGAATGAATCAATCAATAAAATGCATCACTGACACAAATAGAAAATCCATTCAAAATTGGGCCTATAGTGTATACTGTTTACTATAACATATATTTTTGATTTGGCAACATTTATCCAAGGCGCTTCTTAAAGTTATGCATGATCCCTACTCACTGAAGTTAGAAGCAGCCTCCTTCTGTTCTCCTCCACCACTCTCCATTCCCCACCATCATTCCCCTGCTAGTTATTAGTATTTTGGGTGAAGTTAAGCAGAAATATTATTTCAGATTCAATGAAGCCATGTTCAGACCAGGTAGTATACTGACAACTGCCCCTGCGTTTCACAGCTGTCCTGGGTAGAAACCTTCTACCTACACTGCTTCTGTGCTTTTTCTCTTCAATGGTTCTGCACTCTGTTTGTAGACTTTGGAGAGTAGTTATCAAGTGGCTTTCCAAAAGCCTGCATCTTTAAGAGAAAAACCAAAATGTACACCACAGAGAAGCTAAATGACTTTCCAGTTTAGCTATTTAGATCTGAAATAAATGCTCTATTTTACCCCATTAGTTGTCTACATTGCTTGGAACTCAGTGAATAATGCTATTAATTTTAATCATGGTTTTTATTGCCTTTTCTGATTATAAAAGTAGCACACATTTATTTGTTTTGATTACTCATATATCCCTGGGTCATAGTTAATGCTCAAAAGCTAATTGTTGAATGAATGAATAAATGGTAGTTAACTTGAAAAGACCACAGAAAAGTTTAAAGAAAAAAGCCTTTGTAAGCCTACCTCGTAAAGATAAACTCTATTATTATGATGATATATTTTTCTGCTCCTCCTTTTCCTTCTTTTCTCTTTGTCTTTTTCTATTTAAATAAATATAGGTATATTTTTATCACAATTTTTAGTATACTTAGTCCTAAATTAAATTTAATATTTAAATAAAGGAATTATGCAATGAACAATGAGATGTATGAAGTATAATTTATAGGGTTTTTTTCTTAATTTTACTATTGCTACGATGAAATATGAGAGTACTTCAAAAACTGAGGAAAAATAGAATTAAAATATAATATGAATCTTTCCATGAAATTTTTGAAGTGCTCTCATAATTTTGGCACATGATAAATAATGAGTAGAACTTTGCAATGCTTAATGCTAGTATAACATGCTACATGTAAAGCATAGAAATCTAAGAGTATAGTTTCCTGCACAGAATATGTATAAAGGGATCTTCAAAAAGTTCATGGAAAACACATATTATGAAAAAAACTTGGCATGGATTTCAAAGTTTTTTGCAGCAAAATAAACTCATACTAACTTGTTATAACATGTCTGAACAGAACCTAGTTTGAGATGACGAGAAGAATAAGACCTCAGCTTGAAAAGAGCCCCTACCAGAGCAATAGAAGTTCTGTTCTGTTCTAACTGAAGCAAGAACAAACATCAAATTTATGGTGAAGCTTGGGTGGAAGAATGTGAAATCACTGATGCTTGACAAAAAGACTGTGGGGACGATGCCCCATAGAACTTGACAGTTTACAAATGGATAAGTCGTTTTAAGAAGGGACGAGACCATGCAGAAGATGAAGGCTGTAGCAGCAAACTAACCACATCAATTTGAAAGGAAAAAATTAATTTTTTTGTGCCTAATTGAACAGGACCAGCAATTAATAGCAGAAAAAATAGCCAACACCACAAATATCTCAGTTGGTTCAGTTTACACAATTCTGACTGAAAAATTAAAGCTGAACAAACTTTCTGCTCAATAGGTGCCAAAACTAACTGTGCCCAGATTAGCTTTCAACTGAAATTTTCAACAAGTGGGATCCAGATCCTGGCACAATTCTGACTGAAAAATTAAAGCTGAACAAACTTTCTGCTCAATAGGTGCCAAAACTAATTGTGCCCAGATTAGCTTTCAACTGAAATTTTCAACAAGTGGGATCCAGATCCTGAAGCATTTCTTCAAAGAATCGTAACAGGAGATAAAACATAGCTTTACCAGTGTGATCCTGAAGACAAAGCACAATCAATGCCATGGCTACCAAGAGGTGGAAAGGTCTAGTCAAAGCAAAAGTGGACCAGTCAAAAGCAAACGTCACAGCAACATTGTTTTGGGGATGCTTAAGGCATTTTGCTTGTTGACTTTCTGGGAGGCCAAAAAATGGTAACATGTGCTTATTATGAGAGTGTTTGGAGAAAGTTAGCCAAAGCTGTAGCAGAAAAACACCCAGGAAAGCTCTACAGAGAGTCTTTCTCCACCACAACAATGCTCCTGCTCATTCCTCTCATCAAACGAGGGCAATTTTGCAAGAGTTTTGATGGGAAATCATTAGGCATCCACCTTACAGTCCTGATTTGTCTCCTTCCAACTTCTTTCTGTTTCATAATCTTAAAAAAAAATCTTTAAAGAGCACCCATTTTTCTTCAGTTCCTAATATAAAAAAGACTGCATTGACATGGTTAAATTCTCAGGATCTTCAGTCCTTTAGGGATGGACTAAATGTCTGGTATCATCGCTTACAAAAGTGTCTTGAACTTGTTGAAGCTTATGTTGAAAAATAAAGTTTATATTTTTTAATTCCATTTTTCCACAAACTTTTTGAAGTTCCCTCCTACAACACATATAACAATAATAGCAATGACATTTCTTTCAGACTTTGAAGGGCAAGTATCCATTAATATACATCAAGCTATCCTCTTAAAAAGAAGACGTTAAATTTCACTTCCAAATTCTAACTTCACCCCTAACTCATTTCATTGGCTCTGCTGTCTCTTTATTTGTGCTTATCAGCTTTTTTGAGTCCTACCACGCAGGTCCAACACTACTTGATTTTTTTATCTTCTGGTCATGTGTCAGAGTCTGTTTGAAGCCAGGGTACCCGAATTAAAAAACTTACTGCTCTCAAAGACACTTTTAAGTGTTTTAAAATGAACTATAAATCCTTAAGATTCAAGTGTAGTTACATTTTTAAGAAATAGCATTTTGGTTCATAAGAAAAATGGAAAAACACAGAATTATGTTAGAATGTGCATACTTTGCATAGCATGAAATGGAGAGTTATCTATAAAAAATTAAAATGAATAAAAAGTTACAGGAGAATACATATAATATAATCCCATATTTGTTATTGAAGAAAGGCATGTGTGTGTGTGTGTGTGTGTGTGTATACACAAGGATATCTCCAAAAGTTAAAGGAAAAATATACTCAAAGATAATAGAAATCTTTCCATGAACTTTTTGAAGTTCTTTTATATGTGTATATATATGTGATTATGTGTGTGTGTGTTTTAAATTTCTGAAAAGATTCACAATCAATATCTCTGAGAAGTGGTTGTATATTAGGGAGATTTTTTTATTTGAAAACTTGTATTTTTGAATTTTTTACAATATATACACTTTCTAATAGGGTCTAAGAATAGGAAAAATGCAACAGTAAAGCATTTTGGAAGTTGTATTCAAATATCAAATTAATAATCATGTCTGGACTCATTTAACCATGTTTTAGATTTCAGAAAGATTATGTTAGAAACTTATTTTAGTTCACAATTATGATAGTTCTGCCTCACATTACCCATGAATTATTAAACATGGTCTCCTGAGAGTCAAACTCAAGGGTCTTTCTCAGATTAGTGCCCTGTCTAACTATATTAGCTTCATCAAAACTAATTTTTGACTTTTTTTTTTTTTTTTGGTAGTATTTATGGTTTTACAAACCACCACTTCCAAATCAGCTGTAGAGAAAAACTACACATCTGGCTCTGGTTGTAAGATCCAGAAATATAGTTATAGAACCTTAGTTTCCATTTTATAGCAGAACCACAGGGTCCTCCCTGTTTTTTTTGTTGGCATTGCCTTCACCAGTACTATGGCCATCATTCAAAAACCACTACTACCTGGCAATATTAGCAAGCAGGTGAGTGCTTCTGCCCCCTCATCTGTTTCAATGCTCCTCAAAATCATGCACTATAGATTACCAAAGGAAAAAGAAATGACTCCTGCCTCTAAGGGATGCATTGAATAATTATTCTTTATCACAACATAATGTAGTGGCTGTAAATGTAAGTACTGGAGAGATACTGCCTGAGTTCAAACCCTGGCTCTATCACTTATTAGCAATGTGACCTCAGAAAAGTTGCTTAATTTCTCTAACCTTCAATTTTCTCATCTTTCAAGGGGTTTCATAATACTCTCTACCTCATAGAGTTGTGAGGCTATGTGAGTTAATACATTTAAGTAACTTAGAATACTGTTTGCCATATGGTAGGTGCTCAATCAATATTAGTTAGTAGCTCTCATCACCAGTTTCACCAGCATCATTGTCTTGTTCCTTCTAATACAGACTGAGGCCTTCCTGTCAAAAGGCCATTGGAGGTGACAGTCTCTAGGTGTAAAAACCTTCTTGAATCTTGTCTTGGGACTAACTCCTCAATTACAATCCCTTTTCTTGCTCTCATCACCAGTTTCACCAGCATCATTGTCTTGTTCCTTCTAATACAGACTGAGGCCTTACTGTCAAAAGGCCATTGGAGGTGACAGTCTCTAGGTGTAAAAACCTTCTTGAATCTTGTCTTGGGACTAACTCCTCGATTACAATCCCTTTTCTCCATTTTCCTGGCTGCCAGCTCTTCAGTTCTTCTCTCTCTTTCATTAATTCCTCTTCTTTCTACCATATGGTGACTTGATGAAGGCAGATGGATCCCCTGCATGCACACGCACACACAAACACACACACACACACACACACACACACACACCCTGCATGCACACGCACACACAAACACACACACACACACACACACACACACACACAGAGAGAGAGAGAGAGAGAATTTGATTCAGATGCCAAAACTGATGATGTTATACATGTATCAAAAGGTTATGAAGAGATGTATCACTCACAGAACAAGGCTTTCAAGAGAGAGCAGGGCAGGCTCCCAAGCAGGTCTCAAATGGCTTGGGAGAACAGGACGGGGCAATAAGCATGGGGTTTCATAGTGGTGACGGGGTGGAGCTAAGGTGAGGTTTCCCTTTGGGGAAACTTTCATGGTTTGAACTTCACACAGGTGCCAACAAAGGGCTCACCCAGGCTTTTTTATTAGTTTGCCCAGATGTGGGGCAGAAGGGGAAGAGGAAGTGGAATTAGACTCTTTATTAGACTAAAAAATACCAAAATGAGGGCTTTGCTTCTTTCTGAGGCAGTCCACCTCTCCTGGTAGGTAAAGGGACTCCTCCTGGCCTACAGTTTGAACCACAATACCACCCCTAGACTTTCTTTTCCAGAAGAATCACAAGACAAAGCAGCATTTCTCTTTCCTGGTTACCTCTCTCCATCCCCCCAAAAGACAATCATTCTTCAGAAAATTATGAGTAAAGAAAGGATGCAGTTACCTAAATTTATTTCAAGACTTAATAATGAACAGAAAACTATATACATTAATAGTGTCTTTCTTGGTGAATTACTTTCATAGGCTTTTCTTATTTCTGTTTACCTCACGATAACATAGTGCATTTAACTGTAGAATGCACTGTGCAATGTATATTTTATTACCTCTGGTAATGAAATTGTTTGGTATTCCTGAAGCATGGGTCAACCGATGGTCAAAGAGAACCAGGTAAGGAAAAGAAGGATAATGAGCACTTTATTGAGAATAGGATGCTAGGAATAAAGTCTGCCAATCCAGTGTGGGTTGGCTAGGTGCATTTCTTAGGTCAAATGCCTTAATATTTATCTCATCTGTTTAATAAGATTTCCATCTTGGATTTCCTAAGAAATTATTACTGAGTCTAGTAGAAGGGTTCTCTACCTCTGCAATACTTGTGTTTTTGTTTCATAATTTTTAACTTATAGTCCCTGTGTTTTGAATAATTTTGTCTCAAAATGAACTGTATTGATCATAGAAAAATCAATCTTACCACTTATTCATGAAAGGTATATTTTATCTTCATTCATTATTCATTGCCTTATGTTAATAAAGATTTATTAAGATTGGCATCACAGTTATTGTGAAATAAGTCAAGGTAATATGAATTAGAAATGTGTGAGAAAGAAAAATGAAAAACAAGCGTAAGGTATTATATATAACCTGGTATGTGGTCATTACTGAATAGCACTCAAAGAAGTCCTATAGATGGTCTGAAAATCTGGCTTTAAACTTCCTTGCAATCAAAGTGAATAGGGAAATGAACAAAATATGTATGTGGATGTGATTACAATTAGTGCTTTTAGCACAAATAATCAAGATTACCAACTGAGTTTACATAATTCCAATAAGAAGCAAAGAAACATCATCTCTTGGTTGCTTTTTTGTAGATTTATCATAGACAAATTATCATGTCCATGAGACTTTAAAACAATAAAAATAGTTTACGAATGCCCTTTTCCCTCCTCTGTGAATCCCTAGCTGTCTAGATCCCAGATTGGAATCCAATGACCTAGTACTTATTCTGCATCTTTTCCTTCAGATAAAATGTTTCTCTTCATTCATTATAGCTAATAAATGGTGCATTGGCTATTTCATGCAGTAATCAATCTTGTATTGAAGACTTTCCATCTTGCAGAAATACTGTAAACACAATATATTGTGGACACAGGTCTTTAAAGGCCATCCCACAAAATTTAATTATCATTCGTCCCTGGAGTGCAGGTGTGGAAATTAAGGGGAATCTTTGAGTCAAGTAATTAAGCCGACTGCAATTCAGTTAGTCAAACAAACATTGATGGAGGACCAGACCCAGTGCCTGAGCCAGTGTTGGACAAACAGAGATGAGTATGTCAAGCTCCACGTCCCTTATGAGCTCGGAGTCTAGAGAAACAGGTCATTTCCTTAAGTACGATGTTTCTGAGAGGAAGCCTATTCTAATGAAAACTTTGGCTTTTTCTTACAGGCTGGTACAATAGGCTTTTCATCAACTTTGTACTAAGGAGGCATATTTTCTTCTTTGTGCTACAAACCTATTTTCCGGCCATGTTGATGGTGATGCTTTCATGGGTTTCATTTTGGATCGACCGAAGAGCAGTTCCTGCAAGAGTTTCCTTGGGTAAATTTTTCTGCACCTTAGTAAAATGTTAATATAGGAGAAAGAATGAGGGAGGTAAATAAAAATGGGTAATACATGGAGAGGAAAAGAGAGGGGTGCTTTAGAAGGGATAGTTAGAGATGCATATTTTGGTTAAAGTATTTATCTCAACAGCACGAAGAGAAATTGTAATTGGGCTCTTTCTTAGGAACCCAGACTTTGGGGATGAAGGCTGTGCTGACTGACCTGCAGCTGAATGATAGTAAGGAAAGGTGGTGAAGCTATGGAGCATAAACAGTCTAACTTTAAAAATCTGTCTCGTTTCCCTTTCAAGGAAACCTCCCATCCCTTATTCCAAGTCCCCTTAAGCTTTGCATGACAAATCCTTACATCATAGAAGGAAGAATCTTCAAACTAATTTATACTATACGGTTGGTGCCTTAATAACTTACTAGGGAGGTGGGGGGAAATGCTTGAATTTGGAAACAGGAGTGCTGACTAGAAATTAGGGCTTAACCCAAAGGCCGAAATCAGAGTCAACCACAGTGGAATTTTAGGTACTGCGGCACTTTAGTTGGCAAGAGATTTCAGGTGAAGAGACATTGCCAGCTCATTAAGTCACTACACAGGGGAGATTGTCTACTCTATCTTGCCACTGTCACACACTGATTTATGTGAGCCATTTCACACCCACTTAGCAGTTATTGAATCCTTACAAAGTGGAAGATGCCAAGCTAAGCACTGCGATGACATGTCACTTAATGAGAACCCAAGAGTCAGTTCCACTTGCCTTCTCGGCTGGTTTGGGGCAGAGCTTCCTCATTTCATTTGATTCTGTTCGTTCACCCATAATGCTCTATCTAGAGAAAAGATAGTTATAAGTGGTTCACAATCATTATAATTATCACACAATTCATTCCAGAAAGGGTGGTTTCTATGTCAATGTTCATAAATTATATGCATGCTTTGAAAGATCATTTGAAAGACATAAATTATTAATATTAATAATTTGTTCACCTCTTTCCCCCTTAAAACCTTTAATCTACAAGCATTTGAGGCTTGAATATCTTCAAGGAAAAAATACCATCTGAATGAGTAATTAAATTATTCTGACTGTTACTTCACATCAGAGCATCTGTGCCCTGACCTCAGTACTGCAGTGGGGCAGCATAGACCCAAGCAGGAGACTGGGGGCACACTGCCCGGCCCCGAGACAGGAGGAGAAAGGCACTCAGTCTCTAAAGGTTTGTGAACATGACTTTCAATCAGATTCCTAAAGCTGACTGCTCTGCTCTTATACCGTGAAAATGACAGCAGTAAGAGCTAGCTCCGTGGCAGGTTGGAGTGAATGGAGAACACTGAAACACATTTCATTTGACCCTGAAATTCCATGCTTCTTGTATCTGCATCTGATCCCTTAGGGTTAGGGAATTGCTATGCAGATTTATGTAAAATATTATGCAAACCATAAGTGCCTATCTTTCTCTTTTTTTTTTTTTAAATAAAGAGAACTGCAGTATTCCTATAAAATTGCTATCCTTTCAGGCTTTTGCTTCCTAACACATTTAAATTTTTTCAAAAATACTTTGTCCTCGCTTTACTCTCTCTTCCCAAATGCTGTGCTACCCAATTCTCCAGAAGCCCCTACGACTGACTGCCTGTTCTCTTATTCCCACTTGCCTTTGCTCAGCTGTTCCCTCCTTCACCTTCTCCACAGCAATTGACATTATTAAGCATACTCTCCAGATTCAGAACAGTGTTCTGGTCAAGAGTCCAGCTTCGTCTTCCTCTTCTGCAAAATGAGATTATTAATACTATCTTCTAAAGGTCACCGTGAGACTTAAATGGGAGAATTCATGTCAACTGCAGAGCTGGATGCCTGGCCCTCCATGTTTGGTAAAACCAACCATACAAACAGTATTATTAGTTTTCGTTATTCTGCACTTGTCTAGTTCTTCTCCTCCTATAGGCTTTCTTTCCTTCTCTTTCCTGCTTTTTATTTTTTCTTCTATTCCTTAAATATGGGTAACTCTTTCCCAAGGATTTGCTCAGTTTTGAGCCTCTTGTTTCCAACTACCATTTCTATGAAAGTAAATCCCAAATCTCTGTCCTTGTCTCAAATCTTTTTCTCAAGTCCCAGATGAGTGTTTCCAGTTGCCTGCTGGACTTACCTTCAGGTGCTACGAGCATTTAGCATGTTCAGGACTGAGCAAACTACTATCTCCTCCCGTTTTCCATCCCACTCGTTCTCTTTACTTTCCTCATCCTATTAAGGACCCTCCAATTCACTGAGTCTTTTATATCTGAAACCTTAACTTCCTTCTTAGTCTTCGGCAGTGGCTCTCAACCTCTCGCCGTAGGACCCGTTTACACTCTTACAAATTATTGTGGACTCCAGAGCACTTTCGTTTTTGTGAATTATATCTATCATTATTAGCCATATTAGATATTAAAACAAAATTTTAAAAAACATTTATTAATTCATCTAAAAACAAACTCCTTACAAGTTAACATGATAACATATTGTGTGAAACATAATTGTTTTTCCAAAAAATGTTTAGTGAGAAGAGTGGCATTGTTTTACATTTTTGCATGCCTTTAATGCCTGGCTTTATAGAGGGCAACTGGATTCTTATCTCTGCTTCTTCATTCTCTCTATTGCAATAGGTTTTGGATGAAATATAGGGAGAAATCTGGCCGCATCAGATATGTAGTTGGAAAAAGGAGTAGTATTTTAATAGTCTTTCCAGATAATTGTGAATAGTCTTCCTTCACATGATAGTGAAACTCAGCAAGTGATAGTTCCTTATAGGTTAGTGCAGTGTGTTGTCTGAAACCATGTCAACAAATTTTTTTCTGTTCTGTTGAATTAAAATTCATTGGTCTATATTTCACTTTGAATAGATTTTTAGCCATGCATTGGTTATTTGCAAAATATTGATTCACTGAGTTATACAGATCTTCCAAATGTCTATGTAATTCATTATACTACATTTAAAAAATCACATTAATTAGGGCCGGCCCGGTGGCGCACTTGGTAGAGTGCGGCGCTTGGGAGTGCGGTGGCTCTCCTGCCGAGGGTTCAGATCCCATATAGAGACCGGTCCGCTCATTGGTTGAGCGCGGTGCGGGCGCGACACCGAGGGTTGCGATCCCGTTGCCGGTCGCGGTGCGGGCACGACACTCAGGGTTGCGATCCCGTTACGGGTCATGAAAAAAGACAAAAAGGAAAAAAAATCACATTAATTAGTATCACCACTAATCTCATCAAAAAAGTTTTTAAGTATTGAGAAGCTCTCAAGTCATAATGATGAATAGAATGTTGGTAACATTCTAGTTTTGACTTGAAAGCTCAAATTTTATCATTGACAGTCAACACCATTAGTTGTTTTACTTGAAGTGATAGGCTTACTTTGCTCAGTTTTGAGAAAATGTCTGCCAAATTCCCAAATTTGGACAACCGTAGTTTGTCTTCAGTTGTTCTTCTGAGTAAAAATCATGTTCCATTTAAAACAGCATTGAGTTCAGCTCACAACTCCAACTCCATCACCTGAGTGCTTTTCCTCAAGATAGGCTTCATACTTTCAGAAGTGCAGAAGTGCTTTCTATTTATTTTTCATTTAATCAACCAAAATGTTAAAAAGGCATGCATTCAAGGGTTATGATTTAATAAAATTAACAAATTTTACTGACTTTTCTTTTTACTGTGACTGCTGGAAGGTGAAAAATACAGTGACTACTAGGTCAACGTGGTGCTGCTGCCATTTCTCAGCAACCAGAAGTCTTTACCAATAGCTCCAAGCACACATGGTCTCTTGAACCACGTGGCACTTCGTATGTCTCCTAAGGCACCTTGCTTCCTCTATCTTGTGTTTAGCTGTGGGGCAGGGATAGCTTATCTTGTCTCCTCTATTGAATGTGAGCTTCTAAAGGACAAGGATCATTATTGCTATCTTTCTGTTCCCGCAGTGACTAGCACAGTGCCCTCCCACACACACATTTTGTCTTTTTTACTGACCGGTAACGGGATTGCAACCCTCAGTGTCGCGCCCGTACCGGGGACCGGCAACGGGATCACAACCCTCAGTGTTGCGCCCGCACCGTGCTCAGCCAGTGAGCAGGAACTGGTCTCCACATGGGATCCGAACCCTCGGCGGGAGCGCCGCCACACTCCCAAGTGGCGCACTCTCCAGTGCGCCACCGGGCCGGCCCCCACACACACATTTTATGCTCAATACATAGTTGTTAAGTTGCCAGTGTTTAGCCCACCATGTTTTTAATACCTATTTTTAGTTACTAACTGGAAACAATAAAGGGTGATTCATTTGCTAGTTAAAACCCTCCCACATTTCTCATGTTTCAGGTAAAAAACAATAGATGCTGATTAGTATAGAAGTGCCAATTGTGATTAGGCAATTCTCATAAAAGATTATAGCTAACATAGAATGTGTGATGGGTCAGAAATACTCTATCTCTCCATTCGATTTGGTGTGGAGAGAGCGTGAGACAGTTATAAAGGTGTTCAAGGATTATACTTTCTCCTCACCCTTCTCCCTCCCTCCTTTTTCCTTACCCCGATCATTCTTGCTTGTCCCCTATATGTGGGTATGCCATTCCCTGCATAAAGCATTAAGTAACGGGGGCATTTACTCACCCTTCTCCCTCCCTCCTTTTTCCTTACCCCGATCATTCTTGCTTGTCCCCTATATGTGGGGTATGCCATTCCCTGCATAAAGCATTAAGTAACGGGAGCATTTACTCGGAACCAGACGTGGCAGAGGAAGGCAATCAAAGCTTTCAGGCCTGTCATCGCTCATAGACAAAAATGTCTCCTAACAGGAGATATGCCATATGCCTGGAAAAGTGAATACTTAGGGAACTGGATAAGAGCAAATCATTTAACCATTACAGAGGTTACCAGAACTTCTAATAATAGTCACTGGACTCTGGCACCACCTTTGTAGGGAAATGGTTGTTAGATTCTGAACATACAGTGGTGTTGGAATATCCAGCTCATCTTTCTTTCCCTCATATCACTGAATGTTTTTTTTCTATGTAGGCCTATAGGGAAAATATGTTTACTCATTTGAATGTGAATGTAGATATCCCTTCCCTCCAAAAGAGCTACCCTCAGCACAGCTATTGAAGGGATGAACAAACTCAATAGTTCTGTAAGTGTCGCCTGTCTGCCCTACTGCGATGACACCAGCCAACAAACCTCTCAAACTTGTATAGACAAAAATGGCCAATGAAACACAAAAATGAATAATTCTCCCCAGATTAAAGGGTTCTTAGGACCCCATACACGTCCTTAAAAGTTAATATGGTGAAGCCGCAAAGGCTCAGGAGAGTTGAATCAAATGGCCAGACAAAATATTTTCTCCTCTTTCCTAACTGTGCACAGCAATATTAGGTGGGAGGATAATTCTCTAATCTCAACATACAATCTTTCTTTGACTGAACGGTCACTTCCTATAATTCAAAACTCCTTTATTGGGATGTTAACTTTAATGGGTTTGGAAGGAGTACTATTTGTCAAGATTAATGTATTTCTGAGGGGTGGCTCAAGACATAATAAGTGTGTTTAATGTAGCTGTAATACTCCTGACTTCAAGTTCCATTGCTGTAGGAATTTATATATTCGTTTTCTCATCATTTACTCCCCCTACACAAAAGTCCCTCCTCCCCGCTCTCTAATTCTTTTATACATTTTTTATATATATTGCTTATTGTAAATAAGGAAAATCTAGAATGCTGGTTTTAAAATAAATAAAGCTATAGTAAATTAGTTAGACTAAACACCCTTTTAAAGAAAATGACTGATATAGTTCATTGCTCTCTGGCAAATATAGAGAATGCAATTCCTTCTTCTTAGCTCATCAGTCATCGATTTCAAATATAAAATGAGGTCTTTCTGGCACGTACACTTGCGTGTTTGCTCTGAACTTTATTTTCTTCACTGAGCCCCATATTACTGTCTACTGAAAAAATATATATACCAAGTTCTATCTTCCATATCTTAGAAAACCAGTAAGAGAAGACACTTTTAAAATTTTAAACTAATAGGATAAGCTACCAAATAGAAATGTTAGTTCAGGATTCCTTCAGTTTCTACCAGTAAAATATTGAAATATGACTTCTGGCCAGTCAAAAGGCACAAAGTACCTTTTTTGTGCCTCTTGACATAACTCTATGTTCAATTTTATAGCATCTTGTCTCAGAGATCCTTCACTTATAGAGAAGGAAATTTCCTTTGCAGGTCCAGAAAAAACAGAAGGAAATTTCCTTTACAGGTCCAGAATGAGAAGCAGCAGTTTTGCATGTAAAAAGCACAGGCTCTGGACTCAGGGAAAGGTTTGAATCCTGCTCCTGACAAAATGTGGGCTACTTAGCAACTCTCAGCTCATATTTCTTTTCTACAACATGTGGCTAATGATATCTACCTAGGTGTGTGGTAGATAAATATTTGATAAAAGCAAGTGGGTTTTGTTTAATAATCTTGGCTTCAGCTGTAACTGTAATGTCAATAAAATTCCACATCTCCATGTTTATGTAGCAAGAATGCTTTAGAGCCAAGGGATGCAAACAGCGTTCACTGTTAATGCAGATTGTTGATATTACCATGGTTGAGGTGAACCTGGGACTCAGTGAGACTGAGGCCTGTATTTGATGTTAAGAGCTAGAACAGCACTTAGGTTTCTTCCTCTGGACTTCAAGTCAGTGAGAAGGTGAGGTTCCAGGCTCTCCCA